GAGACCAAATTATCAGATCATTCTGCTCAAAAAACGATTGTTAAAAAAGCACGATGTGGTCGGCAAAGATACCATTTCTCAACCAATGCGATTGCTGCCTGAACTGTTGCTACACCAATGCACAAAAATTCCTCACTAAATTTTCCGAACTCCAGTGGCGTTTCAAATATGACCAATGAGATATTCTTGTTGTTAACAAAACGTGGTTTTCAGTTGCAATTAATGATTCCAAAACCTCTATCAAATATGTCTCTACTAAGATGTGATCGTCCCACATGTGGCGGCGGTGTTTTACTTTACGTTAGTGACGATCTTCAGTGCGAGGTAATCAATCCTGCAGTTTCTGCTCCTGACACCTTTTTGTGTTACGACTGTCCAAACATGATCAATTTTTTGTTAGCGTAGTCCATCGTCCCTCATCATCGTCGGAGAAAGCAAACAAACCTCTTTTGCGAGCTGTATCACAACTTATACAAAGATTTACCCGTGTTCTCTTAATGGGTGACTTCAACTACCCCACTCTCATTAAACCAATGCACGCTCATCCATTATTCGAATAGCAGTTAAAACATCTCGTTTACTCACATCCACCATACAATCACCTGAAGGAGGCGACCAGGTTTGGAAACCTGCAGTCACTATCAATACCGGATTTAGTGTTGACGAACAAAAAACTGATCGTGACTTGCCCCGCAGGCCGAAACAATCATGCAGTCTTTTCATTCAAATAAATTTGTTTAGGCTCTATTCAAAGAAGTTCACCAAACATGCACACATCGATCTATAGATCATAAAAGGTTGCAAAACTTGGCGCTATCTACTCACGGGGTTTCTCATGGCGGAGAACCCAATCCTTTGATCTCCAGGCGGAAAGTTAAGAGTTAAGTTAAGAGTTCTAAACACCTACTAACATTAGCATGCAGAAGACATAATCATGAAGGTACTTAGGAGTTCGGTACGAAAAACGTCCTCAGCGTCACCCGGCGTTTTTTATTTTGCGGGCGCGCCTCTAGCCTTTGCACAACCAAGTGCGGACTACAAGGCAGCAGGAAGTAAACCCACGACTCGGAAGTGAGGAGGTCAATGACTTTAGTTTTAAAAGGTCACTCACATCGACCTTTGTCACGACACCGTCATTGGGCTTATGTGGCCTTTAAACAAGAGCCAGGTGACCAGCCTGAAACCCACCACACCCTGATAGTGCCGCCGCTGTTTGTTCGCGACTGCTTATTTGTTGCGGTGTACCACAACTTATTCACAGCTAACCTCTTCTTCGGTGAAGGAATCCCCCTATCCACGACCCGGGGGTGCGGCCGGTAGTATTCGGCTATGCTTAACCCGAGATTGCCGAAATGGCAGTGCCAGGTAGTAGTTTCAGGCGCAGAGTCCATCTAAGTTCAATTTCTTTTCGTCGCCAAAGTAGACGAAATTCCATTGAATTTTCCAAGTTGAATGAGTTTTAGTTGGCCTTCTCGTGTTTTTGTATTTCATTNCTTATTTGTTGCGGTATACCCCAACTTATTCACGGCTAATCTTCTTCGGTGAAGGTATACCCCAATCCACAAGCCGGGGACGCGCCTGGTAGAATTAGTTCATGGAGCCGGCTTATCCTTTCCAAGGGCCCAGCCGTAGTAAAGTAAATTAAGTACTAACATTAGTGCCTACGACTAAAGTAATCGTTCAGTCTAGCATCCGAAATGAATGGTGAGGGATCCATCCTGGGGTAAATAGAGAAGGTCTTCCGGATGTCGACACTTGGAATAATTACCGTAGGTCGAGAAACCACTACACCAGGCTGATTCGTGAGGATAAGCTGATGTACCAAGAGGCGCCAGCACAGAGGATGATCTCCAACCTCAAGCTTTTGTATAAGCACGTTAACCCGATTCGGAAATTTTAATTTAGCGTCCAGGCACTAAGTATCGCTGGCACAGTTCTAGCTACTACAATGGAAGCAGCTGAAATACCGAAAATTCAGTATTCCGAAGGTTTTGCTTCACTACATGTTGAAGATCTACAGCTCCCTTGCCGGTTGCAGTATTTTCCCTATCCTTCGCTGAACAATGTAACACTTACAGCTAAAAACATCAGAGCAAAACAAATGGCTTTGCAAGAAAATGAAACTCCATGTGCGGACAATCCCTTATCTGTTTGGTGAATCGAATGTTCGAACCACTAATCATTACAGTTCAACGGATACTGAAAAATACCCGTGGATTACAAAAAGAGGTCAATTTGGCCAACAAGCTCGTTTTCGTTGTCTCATTTACTAGCCAAATACTTCACTCTTTTATAAGTCACAAAATCACATAATTCAAGGAAATATAATAAGCGTATGGATATTTTGGATACACACGCATACAAACACACATTATTTACGCTTATTCTGTGTCCTTGAATTTTGTGATTTTAGTGACCTATAAAACAGTGCTGTATTTGGCTAGTAAATGAGGCACCGCAAACGAGCTTGTTTGCCAAATGGACTTCTTGAGTTCAACGGATGTCCGATCAAACAGCACTCCTGCATTCGCGGAACAAGGAATTATTTCACCCATATACCAAGGTGGTTATCGTAGTGACCCCGCTAACTACCAACCTGTAACTCTCCTTCCAGTGTTATCGAAAGTCATGGAATAAATTGTGGCAGATTCCAAGGTGGAACATGTAACATTCTTTCGCCAGCGCAACATGGATTCAGACAAAAACGATCCTATCCCACCAACTTGCTTCTTGTTCGAGATGAATGAATCCGAATAGTCGACGAACGGGACACGTTGTGCGTGATTTATATGAACTTCTCAACAGCACTTGATCTGTTAGACCACCAAATTTTGTTACAGAAGCTTTAAAATTACGGTATTTGCGGTTTCGTGCTTGGCTGGATTATGGTATTCCTATGATAACAGATCATAACAATTTGTGTTTCTAATTCCCTGTCCGGTTTTATCAACAATACCCGCGGTGTTATACAAGGGTCTGTACTTGGTTTCGGTCTTTTCTTAGCATTCACAAATGATTAACTGAATGTGTGAGGGCCAAAAACACTACGCTTTGCAGATGACGCCAAAATCGGGAATATAGTAACAGAACCCGAGGATTCACTATCACTTCGAGAAAAAGTTACCAAAGGTTATCAGTGATCTACGGAGAACGACAGTGAATTCAACGTTTCTAGATGGAATGCCGGAGTCAATTTTTTGCAGTCAGAATGGGCACTATTTGGAACGCCACCCCGTCTTACGTCATTTTTGGGCCAACTGTTGAATCTTCCAAGCAGGAGCTTGATCAAACCCTAGGGGTCCTACACATCTACAAACACAAATTAGTTGAAGACTATGTTATTTAGTTATCTCCTACCCGGAATTATAAGTGATATCTATCATTTTTACAGAGAAACGATTCAGTTGTCTAAATATCTTATGGGAGCAAGTGAAGTATGAGCTTGTAATTAATTCCCATAATAAAAATTTGCATACCGTTGATAGTTTTCAACGAGGATGAAACGGCTGTATGCAGACTCTTCAGTGGTTTTTAATTGCAGTAGCTCCGGGCAATGGCCTCATGCAGCCAACTAAGGTTTGTTGTTAAATGCGATCAGATAGATGCCTCGTTGTTCATTCCACAATTTTTGTTCCACGGGAGCAGGCGAACTGATGTTGACAATAAGAGATCGAATCCGTGAGCAACCTGCCCCTGCTTTGTGCGAGGAGTAACCGCTAGAAAGTGAATGACAATCGAGGTTTGGTTGTTTACCTGATACTTGGTATTCTTGCAATAGTGTTTTCCCTCGAAGGAAGGAAAAAACGGGCGGGTTTTCTGTTCGCAGTTTCGCTTACTGGTTTAGATGAATACTCAGTCAGGTGCTTACACATCAAAATCTCAGGATAATCGTTTTCTGAGGAAAATATTTCTTTCTCTTCTGAGTTTCTTTTCAATAGAGTTGACTCTGTTAGTTGGGCAGAAATTTGTTTGTTATTCTGGCATTAAAATTAGACGATTATATCTAGTCACGTTCAAGTTTTCTTACTATGATGAATGTTCCCACGAATTGAGTCATCCAGTCGTGGCAACAGAAACACATCGAGGAACGCAAATGTGTAAAGTTATTTTTAGATGAAGTCCACTCGCCAATCCACAATCTCTACAACAACTAACCCCGTTTGTGGACCTCCAAACTGTTTTCAAAATTTCTAGGCTCCCCGTAGCTTTCCCGTTACAAGCTAGGGAAGTGTTCTCCATCCATTAATTCTCGTGTTTGCCATCTTACGCTCCCGAGTGCTACGCTAGATCTCCTCTTTTACATATCTTCAAAAATAACCCGGGCCTTTTTGTGTGCTCTCAGTTTTCCAACGGCTTGGGTCAAAATACACCGCAGAGCGAAAACTGCACGCACTGCTGACACGTGCGCACATGAACAAACCATATGATGTCCGGTGCTTTTTATTGGCTAGCAAGGACCAATTCTCATCGCAGTACAGCCGTACTNGCCGTACTGAGTGTATAGTACCCACGTAAACCGAATCGAGTCAATCATCACGCACCATTCGAGAGGAAATATTTTTTACCGATGCATGCTGCTTTTGGTGTATGAAAAATAAAAACTTACGCTTGTGCGAATACCATCTAGCGTTTGCCACGGTAATTGTTTTCAATGAACGTTTTCCTCAAATGAGTTTAAAGTGTATAAAAAAATGCCTGATAGTTTAGCAGAAAGTGAATGAGCTAAAACGTCGTTTCATTATTCATACATCATCACGATGGTGAAGGAGTTCGATGAAAGCGATATGAGGTAGAGGGTGAGGCGATTGGCTTTGGCGATATCGACAGTAACAACATCATCAGTAAGTTAAATATGGTGTCTACAATTCGGGGAAACATATATGTTTGGTATTATGTAACAAGGGATTTGAGAAAGAGTCGGAGTGTTTGAGGTGGAGGTTTTCGGGTTGAGCCTTGAGAACTGCGTTTCACCTATATGCAGCAACAACAATCACAGTGCTTTATAATACGCTAACAAATTCCACACAGAGTTGTTCCAGTTTAGTGGCGTGCTGATTCGCCGCTTTCAATACCTCCTCGTGTGTCAACGCTGTTGCGTCTTTTCGATCCGGATTGCAGTTGTCCGAAACAAGTGAGACAGCCGCGACACGCAGTCCACAATGTCGTGCCACAAACACCTCCGGCACGGTGCTCATACCTGAGAAAACAAGGGGGGAAATGAAGAGACAGAAACTGACCAGTCAACATGTATGTTTGTTTGCCTAAATCAGTTACACTCAGCAGACAGTTCTTTCTTTTGAAAGACCGACTGATTTGTCTTTGAAAGAGAGGAAAGCAAACACATTGCCAACAAAACAGAATACTGAGAAGTGATGTGCCGAAGCCGCAGCTAGCTTCCCAGAAAAGAGCAAAAACATGGTGAATTCCTGGGATCAATACACAAAGCTGTGCTCTATTGACGCATTCTCATGTACACAACAACCTGCCTGGAGGTGACGATAAGAAACGCATTGTTTTTATTAGGCATCTCTATTTCTCGGTACCGGAGAATAACAACTTACCGGACCTTTAATAATCCATACATGCGATGCGCATTCTACCTAATTCCTTCGTTCTTTGGTTGGGTTCTGGTGCCTTAGTTTTGTGTATTGCTCCCTAACCAAGAATCTCTTTGGACTTTAACTTGAAGAAAACCATATCACGGTTCTAGTATAGTATCATGTCACGTACCATCGGATCGAACAGAAATATATACCGGTAGGGACCAAACCGAAAGAGAGTGAGACATTCTCGTGCACTAACCTACAACATCTGCGCCCATATTGAGCATCATACGACATTCAGCATTTGTCGTATAGGTCGGTCCCATCACGTGAAAATATACGCCTTCATGAACACAGTCATCTATGCCCAGTTGTTTTGCTTTCGAGAGCAATATTTTGCGTAACTCTTCATCGTACGCATCTGTGGTTGCTGGAAAGCGGGGCCCGAGGCTAGAATTGAGAAAACAAAGGGGAATTTCCGCAGATACAGAAAGAAAGAGATACGAATATATAACTGAACGGATAGCACATTAGGTGGTTTGTTTATTAGCGAAAATGGAATCATAAAATAGCCTTTCCTGAATATCCAAGCGACCATACAAACGGCAATACTTCAATAAATGTATTTTATTTTTTTCATTGTTGTCTATCGAATGGCTTCAATATAATCAGTTAATCTGATAAACAATCAATTTGCCATAAATTGTCATTCTTGCAAAAGGTAGTGGTATACATTATCCGAATGCAAAATACATCTGTTAGCATGCGGGTCATTTAAAACATTTGGCATGCCATTCTTATCCGATTGTGTATTATTTCATAGAACAGTCACTTATCTGCAGTCGTTTCTTATAAGAAATGATTATGAGAAGTGTTTCTGAAGGAGGGGTTTGCTTCACACGGCAGTCATTCGACCCCAGGTTTTCGATTACATGATCAACTGTATTAAATTTTAACTCAATATGGAAAAAAAGAGACCGAAATAAAACTGATTTGATCATTACTCGAGTCAACACACATTCGGTGGAACTATGCACGGATCTTGATAGGACTTTTGTGGTTGAGCGATTTGGGGTTCGTTAACCAATCCTCTTCAGTTCGAGGTCCGTTTATCTCACCATCATCACCATCGTCGTCGTCATCATTATTATCAAAATCCGCATTACCTCGACTACCATCACAGCCAAGGACAACAAAATTCAAAAGTTCATCCTAATTTATGCTGTTTTATGTCCTCTGGATGTTCTTCTGAAATTCACCTGCACCTAAAAGAAAACAGAGGGAAGTTCTCCAGTCAAAAGGAAGAGATTTTTTGGTAAACATTTTTATTACACAAAATGGGTGATGAACAGCAGACGGGGAAAGCCCCATAGTCATGAGTACCTGCTGTTCAGCGATGGAAACCTGTGACCTTAAACACCGGGACTTGGAGTGAAGAACCATATAAGGCCCCAATAGGTTAGGCGTGGTATTGAACCGGACGACAGCAAAGCTGCTTACCATCAAAGTTCGGTGGCGGTGGCGGGGCTATAAACATTAGGCATATTTGTATGCATCAGTATTCACTAAAATTCATGTAAATAATTGCGCAGAAGTATTAATCACCTAGACTTGTGAATCATCAAACTGTAACTCTCAAGAATCAGCTGTGGTTCTTTATTGGAGTGAATTTGTGCAAATATTCTGTGCGTAAGCTAAGAAGTTCGTTGCACTAGTGGTATCCGTATACCGAAGAGTGAAGAGTGGCATTCTCGAAAGTAGTCATCACCAAGTTGAACACAGCCTAGTTTTTATTCGCATTTAGTCTTAACTAGAGCTCATGAGTCTAAAACAACACAAAGCTCTGTTTGGTAAAGGTGATCGACATAAACGCTGCAGACTTCTTGTGAACTTGATGAACAGAAGAGAATGCCCTACCCGAAACGTTCTTTATTGTTACCTTCTGATTCAATGAAGATCTATTTCAATGACTTCTTTCTGAACAGTCATTGAATTGGTGCAAAGGCAGTGATTTAATTGATTCATAACGACGTTTAGGTCACGACCGAGGCTCTATTCGCATTAATTGGGGGTACGAGCGAATAGTTGTGTACACACACGCAAACGTGCGCGAAATCCGAAAGTTCCAACACGGATTCCTTTATACTTACCCAGATACAAGTCTTGCATAAACTTACCTTTCATTATTCGGGCCAATCAACACATTCCCAGTGCCCAGACCAGATAGACTGATATGATCGTTAAGCACAACCAAATCACCAACATTCAACTTTTCCTTCAGGCCTCCAGCCGCGTTGGTCAGCAATACAATGCTCACTCCGAGTTGTTTAAGCACGCGCATCGGTAAAACCATCTGATTAAACGAGTCAGGAAACCAAACAGAAAGGAAGAGGGAGAAGAAGAAGAGGAAAGAACGATCGATAGACCGTAAAACAAAATCTTGTTCCTTACCTGATCGTGAGTGAAACCTTCGTACTGATGTAGTCTGCCCTGCATGATCACAATCGATTTTGATTTCAGCTGACCGAAGATAAAATTTCCGTTATGTCCACTCACTGAAAGTGAAGTACAGATTGGAAGATAAACCCGATTGGCTGTCAAAATGCGGAATATATCAACAGCGGATATAAGCTCAGCATTAGGAAAGAATAACTACGGAATTCGATTGAGTGTGTTTAACGAATCCTGCCGGTTTGCATGCCTGAGGTGTATCCCCTTGGTCAAATTAAGACACCCCAGTATTATGTTTAAACAGATCTACAGAGCAAGCAATGAGAACAGAAATAGGCAAACAAGCTCGTACTCAGTGTGTCGTGATTAAGAAACACTGAAAACGAGCCTGTTTGCAAATTTTTGTTCTCAATTGCGATTGACTTACTCCACATCTCATCCACGCATGGTGATGCTCACAGATGCGCTCGAACAGATGCCTGGTATTGCTACCAACATGCTTTTCTCCACAGGAACATGTGGAGGAGTAAATACAGAAAGAGGCAGAAGAATCGGGCATTTTATACTTCAACCGCGGATACGCCAACGGGCTAGTTGTGAAACGGGTTTGGAGCTTAGCTGCGTAGAATGTGTTGTTGATGACATTTGATTGCTTTCTATGCACAATCTCTGACAAGGTGTCGCCTTGAAACGGTGTATAAATTTACACAGCCTTCTGCTCAGCAATGCTCCTCTTGAGAAAGGCCTCTTGTTGCCTCACAGATTCTACCAAGCGCTCCGGGTATTTATTCTGGATAAAGATGCCCCGCATATTTTGAAGTTTATCAATCAGTATGTCCTTCATGAAGGCTCTGCTAGTTCTGTTGGCCAAACAGATTGCGAGATTCTTCATAATGAGTGACACAAAGCTACGGGAATGAATGCGCTGCCCATTCCACGTTGCCTTCCTGTATACTGACCGCCTGATCGACCCGTAATCACAACGAGTTAAGCAACCATTTGAATATGCTCACTGATTGTTTCCCTCATTTTCAGTCGCAAATTTCAAATGCCGATGCGCAGCATTGAAATGGTCCAGTATATGTTGTCAGCCCATTGTGGAATTGATCACGCACAAGAATGTCGTCTACGTGACGTTTGTACAATACGCATTGTTCCATATGTGTTTCAAGTGGACCGCTTTCCATTTTAGACACGAGAACATCAGCAAACAAAGGAACCCGTTGCTACGGTCGACCTTCTTTAATCCCGTTGCTTGTGATAGAGGTGCACAGATAATCAGTTTTTTCGCCGATCTGAACAGTCATGAATAGAGATGTAACATCTAGCGAAAACATGTGACGATTTTTGATATTTAACTTGAAATGCACTGGTATCACTCTGAGATTATTTCTTTTATGTGATATCCTGTGGAGCATGACGGAGAGCTTACAGAGTGTGTATAGCTAACAATTGGGCTAATTCTCATCTACGTACGACAATTTCCCATTTGCAAGTGATCCGCCACGCACCCCACTCAAGCGGACCCGTTTAGTGTGTGTGAGAAAGGGCGAAAGTTCCTAATATGCGGCCATCTGGGCAATTTTCAGTTGGATAAGTCACTTACTTCATATGTCTAATGTTCTGCACCATAAGATACCAGTCACGCAATAACAGGACACTCTAAATGGATAGTAGTTTGTTGCATATTGATATTGGGACATCTTAAACTTAAGATGTGACTGAAAAAATATCTAAGAAGAACTACGGGAAACACCTGGAGCCAGACTGATGGAGATTATTGGTTTTTATTTCAAAACCATCCGGACAACACAGAGAGGACTCACTTACCAGTGGTTTGGGGAAAATCTTTTATCGAACTGTACGGAATCGTGATTGCTTTTTCGACAGACTTTGCCAGTCCACCCAATCCACTTCCACACACAATCGCCACTTGCGGTTGCACATCAGTTTGAGCACGAATTTGCGCAACAATTCGATCTACCACGCAGTCGTGACTTGATTGGGAACCGCCCATTTCGCAAGTGGGATTAACAGTTCGCTGTGTTTGGCTCTGTCTGTGTATTCAGGCGTTCGCGGATGAACACACGTGCGCGGCTGAAATATATTCGAGAATTTTAAAACAAGAAACATGTGTAGCAGTATCGAAAGCATTGAAACTGGCGGAGGTTTGAGACAATGGGTCATTTAAACGGAAGCTAGGATAGTGGTTAGTCATGTGATCCAGTGTAATAAATGGAAAACGGTAGGACAGCAAATTAGGGTAGCAACCGAAATGATACAGATGTAACGGTGTACGTATACTGGGTATCCAATTTTCAACCATTCATATGTTTGGGAGTAAAATGGAGGTCTCAATTCTGCGCTTGGACAGTAACTATGTCTGGGGAGTGTTGCCCAATGAAATCTTCATTAGATCGCCAATAATCCGCACACAATAAATGTTTACAAATGTTTGTACTCGGCTTGCCTCGAAGGTTATTCAGGAGGGGTTTAGAACGCTAGTATCGATAGCATGATTGATAGCCGATATATGTGTTTTACGCGGCCCAAGCAATAACGAATTATGGGGTGGTTTCTTTAATAACTAAACACAAATAACATCTAACATGAACGTTGTACTAATCAGTGTTTGGTAGTGATGTGTCGGTGAGGTTTGGGGCTGCAAAACAAACCTGAAGCGTTGTGCTCCTTTAATTCAGTGGCAAAAAGAGGACTGAAGTTTCATTTCAATCGAGATATTTACGGAATTTTAACTTTTTGGCTCCATAGTTTTCATAAGCATCATTTATCTAAGTCGACGTTGTATGTCGATGGTGAAAAGTTCAGTAGCCTCGGTGGGATTCGAATCTACGCATGGACGTCAACATTACCTAAGGCATTTCAGATCGTGTTTTCATTAGTGTAACAATACCTGGAAGATGAGTTACATCGTTTGTAAAACAAAAATTATCAGACAAAAAGCGGAAGGTACTCTGAACTCGAAAGTTGCACACTTTATTTTTCATGCCCTAATTTGCTACTCAGATTTTGATCCAGGTGTTTATCAGAAGATAATCTTATCCATTTCGGATCCCTCTAATTGTAGTACCTATGCCTTTAGGGGACATTTGAGTGACAGTTTTGATCCCCGTCGTTTATCAGGCACTGGTGTGGGGTGGTGGGGTGTGCTGTTTGGTCATTATCACTGATCGCCCTCCCCCGGGTGAAGCGTTTATCGGAAAGTGATTACCGTGTCAAACATTCACCAGTCTTGGACGAGAAAGAACATTCGCAGTTGAGAGAAAGGAGAAAATATTCCAGTTTAGCCTACTAAACTTTGTGTTGACTAACTGACGCAGCTGCCTTCATTATATGTAACAATTTTATGGGATGTATGTCGGATTTGATTTGATTATATAATGAATTCTCAGAGTAAATGAGACGTGAGTTGAAAAGATAAGACGCAATGGACAGTTGTCTCGGTCTGGCCGAGTTTTATCAGCAGAGAGAATCCATAGATCCGACGATGGATCGAACCAAGGACCTTACGGGTAGAACACATGCACACTACCCACACAAACACCGAACCGCCAGTCGGACCGTTTTCCATTCTGAATATACACAATATGGCACGTTTGCATGCTTGCTGCGGGCATCACACCCCGTTCATCCCAGCACTAACCTACAGGGTTGTGACTCGGTTGGAAACCTTCACAATCTGACTACTTGTTGTGATAATTGTCCAGGTGAGTGAGACAAGAAGTACACAAGGTTCTGATCAGGTCCAGTGGGCCAGGCAAAAGTGATTAAAACCGAGTTGTGGCCCATTTTATTACAACAAAATCAACATATAATGACCTCGTAAGCTCAGATGATGCCTTCCGTCGCACAAGGTAAATCTGGGAACCATGGAGGCCGACTCTGAAGGCCTAATTATGCAGTGCTTCTCCTGGCCTCAAAATCCGGTTTACATGAAAATTTAAAAAAAATTATAAACAGTAAGAATATCTATGTAAAGCGTTTTATATGAACTTAGCATACTGGTTTGTGAACCGAATAGATGTTCACTGTCTGATAGTGTTTGATGGTTTCAAATCCACTCGGGTATGAAAGCTACAATAGACAGCCACTTAGAACCCGCCTGGATAGCCCAAAAAGGTTATAAAGACAGACTAGCAACTCGTCGTGCTAGGGCTCTGAATGAATACCGGTGGATTAGATGAATAAACATTGCTGGTTGTTCCTAACAAGAATGAAACAGTACAAAGTGGGTAATATGTGGATCATTCATGGCGAACTCAATTTTTATAAACAAATCAAATATCTAAAAAACTGCTTCTCATGTGCAAATATTTAATAAAGACATGCGTAATTTCATTTGCTTTTGGTCACAATTGCGAATCTTCTTTTCATAACAAGTGGACCCAGGTGTTAATATGCAGCTTGAATATCATCTTTTGTAATGATGTATGATGTTGTAAGTGGTTCTCAGTTTTGAAGCACAACTAAGCCACAGTTGTTTGGCAATTAGTGAATAGACGAATCGATTTGGGGGGGGATGATTAAATCCTTTTACATCTAAATATGTGTTAATTGTTCCAACAAAATTCTATCGGACGTTGGGGGCAAGAACAGAATACTGTTCACAATCTCTCAGTAGTATTTTTCTTTAAACTGTCCGTTAAAATACGCTTCATCAGCATGTAACCTTTGTCGCTTTCGATGTGAGTACCAAGATGAAACAGTTCTCAGTTGAAACAATATTTATTCCAAACCTTCTGCACATTTACTAAGGTGAATGGCTTTGTTTTCCTTCGACTGCTGTACACCTTCCCCCTTCCCTAGAACCACTCTAGCGCTACTGGCTTCGGGACCGTAATTATGGAGAAATTCATCATCTGTGAAATAGACTGACTGTAAAAAGCCTCACGCATCTCTTTAGCGAGCTATGGTTTTATGGGTTTCACTGGTTTCCCGGTGAATCTCCGCCTAACCTTTGGGCTGGCTTCGTTGTGCTACCCATGGCAACTAACTTCGTCGTTGTGACACATGTGCTTGCAAGTGGTCTGTTGCAAAAATCATTATGTACTGTTCGAATCAGTTGGTCGTCATATCTCTCATGTGGTTTATTTCTCCCCACTTGTTTACGTTCCGGTTGACATTTATTGTTAAACCATGTGCTAATTTGTCCTTTTGTGGACCCCAAAACTGTCAGATGGATTCGTAAAGGAGACGCCCGCAATTTTCCAGCTATTATCTTCAGACTTTCTTTTCTCATCAGATATCTGAAGGGTTCTCTATTTCTCTCCTTTCGATCTTGTTATCGCTGTGACAAAATTTGACTGGGCCGTCGGGTCACACAGCTTTTCAAATCTCCTTAGACGGAATGGTCCAGATCCAACAGGCAAGAACAGATGAACAAATTATTTTCTGTAGAAGCAATAGAAAAAATGATACATGCAGTTGGTTTTGAACTTTCCCAATTATCTTCCACGTATTCGCAGTTCACAACTTCGATGTAAAAAGATTATTATTCAGAAGCTGAACTAACGGTAAATAAAGATTATCGGCGAAAGGAGGATGCTTCCTAATCAGCCAAAATAGTATTCCTTGTCTACTCCTGGAATGGACTATCTCATTGATTTAGTGCAAGTGAGTTCATACAATTTGGTTGGATAATGTTGCGCATTTCTTCTACTTCTCGAACATCGACGCGATACTTGGCTGGTCATCGATTGAGCTATGCTCCTTCCGTTCCGTTTTCATGAGCTACCACGGACAAGAGCTGCATCGACTAGTTGATTTGTGTTCTAGAGACCAAGTTTAGAGTTCAGTNTGGTGCCACATCATGTGAAACCAACCGCTGAAACTATTCGTATACTGTATTCCAAACGTTCAAGAGTCTGTGACTTTGTTATAATTGAACACTAACACTGGTTGCACAACCTGGGTTTTGAACCCATTAACACACGAATCCCATAGAGCAACAAGATAGAAACAGGTTTTTTAACGAAAACAATCGACCTAATATGTGCATGAAAAAAGCCGTACAACTGGGGATCAACGAGAAAATCTCCGGTTTCCGTGAGAACCATTGTGTCAATCGGAGAAACATTGCAAATCGTGTGAACCAATCCTCTTAGGTCAATACTGCCACCCGAATCCCTTTAGTTTCCACAGATTTAGTTATAAACCCATTTTTAATTTGCTCACATAAAATGTCCTGATCGGCTGCAAACGTCCTCCTCCGTAACAAAATACGGTAGCTCAGTTTGGTGGCCTCATCACAGAATCCTCAAGTCCTGAGTATTTCCGATATTGCGATGGGATTATTTTCTTTACCATATAAAAAATATCAGGAAAATAAAAGATAATACGCATAAGAGTTTCAGGACATTATCACACGGTCTAAAACGACACAGAAGAAACTTACGGACAACTGGTTCATTCATACACTGGACTAGCTTTTTACTCAAACGGTTCCCATCCTGTTGATTTACCAGCATGTTTAATGCATCCTACATGAAAATGAATGAGTTCACACATTTGGTTTTACATTTGGTTTTCATTAGGAAGCTGTACAACTGTCACCAGATAATAAACACTCGCCACACTCTCACAGATGATCGTCTTTGACTCTTCAGCGATAGGAAATCCAATAGCTGTAATTTTTAGAACTAACAGACATGCACATTCGAATTCGTGTTGTCACAAACTTGATGTGTATGCATTGCTTTTTTCTTCTCTAAAACGATTAAACGAATCTTATAAGTTTCTAAGTTTATCCGATATTGATATGCAACCCATGGCCGTTGATTAATGAATAAGCTCACTTAGAATTCACAGGCACATTGAAAAAACAAGCATAAATGTGGGCAAAATCAGTGAGTCCTCGTTGGAAAAAGTTAAACATCGATGTGTGTCTGTTTCGAACGTTTCGAATGGTATCAACCGGCTGCGCATCCACATCCACCGGGAGGACAGAAGCGTAGCCACAATTAGGCTTCGTTGCAGGATTTTAATAGCCTATTTGCG